TCGATTGTTGAAAAATAGAAATTACAAACAAATCGTTTTTACAAACAACAATTAACAAGAAGGACTAAATTAAAACATTTGAAACCTGTAAATTTTTTTAAAGAAAGAGAAAGATACTTTCTTTTGCTATTATTATTGTTATTCTAACAATCGTGTGTGTTTTTATAAATTAATTAATAGTTTATCAATTGATTTTATTTGATGCCACATCGTTTGTTTAACAATTAAAAAAAAAATTTTTCAATTTTTTTTTCTAAAATTAGATTAAAATTAATCGAGAACACCGTTATTCCTGCCCCAAAACAATTATTGAAATTAACTGCCTTATTAGGAATATTAATATTATTAAAATAATTCGACTTTTTAATACTTTATAATTATTTTCTTTTATTAGCCACAAAATGAATCTAATAATACTAATAATGATTGATGAATGAGAAATTTATTTTTGGGCTTACACAAACATATATACAACAAGAAATAAATCTAAAATAACAAGGTTATTAATCTTCCATGTTACTTTGTGAATGCATAGAATAATCTAATAAGTAAATATTCATAAAAAGTAATAACATTCCTTAAATATCGATAATTTGAAATTAATTATTGCGGAAAAATATCGTATTTTTACAAAAAAAAAAATTTGATTGATAAAAAATTTTTGATGAAAATAAACTATTACTAACTTGACTATCACGTTTAAAGGAGTGTGCATTGTTGTCAAAAGTGAATTTAAAATAATTATCATTTTTCAACAAAAACATTTTAGCCCATCATCGCACGTGTTTCGTTCATTAACTTTTATTGGTATAGGGTTATAAAATTGGTTATTAAAGTAATTTTTCGTAAATATTTGATTATTATAGTAATAGTTTTATAGTGTTGCAGGCTTTTTATTACTATTATTATAATATGCTTTTTTCATGTTTTGAGGGACGGCACATTAAAGCATATATTGAATAAAACATACGACTCAATGACCTTTTGTTATATAAATTCATCCTTTTTAATTGGGTTCAACACCCTTGTCTTTTAAGTTTAGGTTTGAATATAAATTTGATGCATAGTTTGACCAACATTGTTTTACTATTATTAAATAAACAAAATCGTAAAGAACTTTTCGACAAGTATATTATTGTTATTATTATTGATTTCTATATACTGCAAAATACACACCATCTCATGTTTGATTGAATAATGATTTATTTTTGTCATGTACGAACTTCCATAGTGTCAATATAGTTTTACATTCCCTGAAAGTATGAAATAACTTTATTATTATTATTATTATTATTATTATTATCAACGTTTCCCGAGACCGATTAATTATTGGTCCACCGTTTTAAATTTTAAAGAGTTACCCTGCATAAAATAATAATAATACGGTGCAGGGTTGGCAATAGACTGGGGCCCAATGAGCTTTGGTATACTAAAATATTACACCAATGACCCTGATAAAATGAGCAAAAATAATTTATGCAACTTTATAAATGATCCAATAAATACAAAAATATAGTTATAGAATAATAATAATAGTAGTATCAAGCCACAATCATTGCCTATTAAATATTTACCAATCTAATTACTATAAAAAGCTTATTTGTCAATAGAATTTGAGATAAGTATGCTATCAACATTATTATACTGCTGAGCCGGTTCAGTTGATGAAGGGCATGATATTTCTTTCAGCTTGTTAGATTGATTAATTTAGTAGATGATGGCTTGTATAGAAAGATTCTAGATGATGTTTATGATTCTTTGAATCTGGCAAGTATTTTTCTGGATTGATGATTTCTTTTTGTTTAGCTTCTGCTAATTTGATAATTCCTTTTGGTTCATCAATTAGATCAACGTCATATTTGCCAAGACACAGCCTTCCATTTCTTCAGCTGTTGGCCTATTTTCTGATCATGATTCATCCCAACATCTTTTCTTCAATTTGGCATAAAATTCAGGAATATCATCTGTGATTTGAGGTCTCTCTCCTTTTAAAATATCCAATATAAAATAATGATTCCTTTCCTATAGTGAATTCCCAGAATATCATACATATCAAAGCTGTCTGGTTCTTAGTATAAGGTGTTAGGTATGGAATAACTCCAATGATTTTTATTTGGCTTATCTTTTTTATTAATTATTTGCTGACATAATCTTAAATCTCTTGTTTAAACTTGCATTACGATTCTATGGAAAAATATTACTATCTGCAAGTTATGGTGAGCGTAATTCTTTTCATGAATTTTCCTTGATCAAATTCACGCAACAAAAACAAATAATGTATTTAATAAAAAATTTAAAACTTACCCACTGAATGGATATTAGGAAATTTTATTATCTCAATTTTTTGATTATCATATGCAAATAAATCACAGCCGAACCAAAATAATCATTTGAATTGATCTTTAGTAATCCAATAACATTTTGTTTGCACTACTAGAAGTATATTTGTAGTTAAATAGAAATTTTATCACTAACCTTTTTAACGTATGTAAAGTTCAACGTTAAGGCGTTTATCATTGCCTCTTATATCAAAATTTCTGAATACGGCTGTGGTCTAATATATTATTTTATGCATTAATTTTATGCATTAATGCATTAATCATTGATGAATGAATATTGTTGTAAATAAAATGATTTTTTGAAACGGGATTTTTTGTAAAATGAATTAAAAAACAAAGAAACAATTGCTTTGCCATAGAAAATTTAGATCATATATTCGGTTTTGCTTTTATTATTATAATGATAAATAATTAACAATTTATATACTCCAAAACGAACAAAAAAAAAAATTACTTTTATAAAATATTTTTTTGTTTGTTTGATTGTAAAGGTTACTTTCTTTTAACTATTTATTTATTCATTCTATTATTATACAAGTCAAACCTCGTTATAGTAGACTCTCGGTATGACAGGTAACGAAATTACTATGGTGCGGGACCTCTTAAACCACCATTTACTGCGCCTCGCGGCCAAATTCAAAAATGGGTCAAATTTTAAAAATTTTCAATTCATCTAAAAATGCAATAATATTTAACTCCGCAATGTTACACAACATCAATTTTATTATTTTAAAGGTAATTTATATAAAATAATTTTAATTATTAATATTATTATATAAGGCCTCTACTCCTGTTAATCCTTTTCTATATGCATCCATAAATCTCCAAGCTCTTTGTGCATATTTACGAATACTTTCAAGTGAAACTGAATTTAATGAATACTTAAAGACAATATATGTAAATTTATTGGAATGAATATTTGAGTAAATAAAAAATATTGACGCGTTAATGTTACTGTTACACGATTTTTTAACTCTGACCAGAATTTAAAAAAAGGATCAGCAGATGTCATAATTTCCGCCCAAATTTAAGCGGCCAAATTCCTCGTGAACATAGTAAAATACATGTACAAAAAGGAATAGAACTCAACAACCCACCAATATTTTGAAAAAAACTCTCTGTCACATTAAAGCTTGGGTCCTAATCTATGTCATAACAGAGCTATTTTTTTAAAAATAATATACAGAAATGAACTTCTATTCTTTTAAAAATTACATGCAAAATTGGTGGTTTAAGAGGTCCCGCACCATAATAACAAGTTTTTAAACGAAAACGTGACAGTGAGCTTCGTGAACCCACGCAATTGTTGATCGACCAATCAAAATCGTGAATTTTGTTGTTGTCGGCGGAGTTCATTCTAACGCTTTGTAGTTGACCTCAACATATTCGTGTACTTCTATACGGCACACAGCCACCCCAGTCACCGTATGTGTCCCACTGGCTGACTTGATGAACATGGTTGACGACAAGATAGACGACATAGCAAATAATCAAAATTAAAGAAATATTATGCAAAAAGCAAGCAAGTCGAAAGGCGAATTAGTTTGTTTTTTATTCATTTATTTATTTATACGTCCCAGATCAAAGGTCAATTTGATCGATCAGATATTTTTTTCAAGTTTACATCACTATGAAAGAATAAATTTCAATTGTTAAAAAAAAATCAACCAAGCTTTTTTTTTCTTAATTAAAAGAAAAAAAGATCATTCGCAAAGAAGAACCCTCATGTGAATCAAAAGCCATTTGCGAATTTCGATTGTTAAAATCTTTCATCCTGATCTTTTCCTCATATTTTTTTTCGTCTATCGCTATAGAAGAATAAGCTTCATTCAAACATCAAAAGTCATTTACAAATTTCGATTGTTTTAAAAAAAATCAACTAAGCTTTTTTTTCTTAATCAATCGACGTATTTTATTTGTTTTTCCGGAAAGGAAATTTTTTCATTAATCAACGATTTTATTGTTTCCTCCAAAAGGAAATCAGATCATCCACTATCCTTCAAATGGTCAAAATCAAAGTTTTTTCTTATCCACATCACTCTCAAATGGTCAAAATCCAAAAAAATAAAATTTAATTCAACACGAACAATCAAAAAAATTTGCACATATTGTTTTGTTTATCGATCATTTTTTTTATTAAATTGACAAAACGAAATAAACCGTTTTTGAAACCCGGTCTCGTGATCAGAAAATATCATTAACACGTTGTGTGACAAGCCTTTGACGATCCGAGGTAAAGGTTCCAAGACAAGACCATCAGTTTTGAACGGTCTGAAACGTCGGAGCAAGACGAAGCCCTAACTGTAGACAGCGGTCGACACCACGCAAAAAACATCTAAAGCGAAACACGATTTCCTTTCAGCCAAATATCTGTTTTGCTCAACCCTAACGTTTTGAACCAAAACAAATAACAATTGGATTGATTTTGTTGTTTTTCTCACACGTCAAAAAAATCATTAAAAAACCAGTTTTTCGAAACTATTTTTTTTTACTCGCGATCGTCGATCAACTGAAGTATGCTAATCGCCCGACAGTCTGTGCGACGACAAATAATGCTCACTTAAAAGTTGTTACAAATTATTTTACCAGTTAGGAGATTAATATCTTTTAGTCTATGGGATGGAAAATTTTAATATTAACAAAGGGATCATCATCTCAGGTATGGGTACGGGTGCGAGTTGGGGGTCTTGTTGGGGACCTTATGGAGCCTTCGCGGGTGCTCTCGCTGGAGGTTTCGTTGCTCCTTTGTTAAGCGAAGAAAACAAGATATATGATCTTAACCGGTGGAAGAATGTGAATTTAGCTGGTAATGCAATTAATTATGGAGCAAACATTATAGAAGCGGGATTTATTTGGAACAATCATACTAGGATATCTAAATTGGAAGAGGAATTAATGAATAGGCATTATTGCGGAATTAATAGGGATGAAAACAGTAAAGAATTTGTAGACGCTATGGTAGATCTAGGAATTTTGAAAGAGAGAGTTAAAACCTTGGAAGTGAAGGTCGACGTTCTTGAAGGAGAAAACAATAAATTAAAAGAATATATTTCTACTATGAATAAAAGAATGTCTAATTTAGAAGAGATTGTTCTAAGGATCTAAGGTTACAGGATTAAAAGGGCTTCTCTTAGAAGGAGAGATGTATGTTATTTCTTTTCCTGAGGAAACAAATTGTTTTACGAAGAAGAAAAATATAATATTCATTTCGCTATAAATTTATTCATTGTATGTTTCATCTTTTTATTTATAATTAAAGAAAGATATTTTAAATCGGAGGTTTTTCTTTTTTATTTATTAAAGTCAAATTTGTGATTGTTGATTTTTCTTTTAATTCTTTTATTTTGTATAATGAATGATTTTGCTATGTATTCGAATTTACTATGTTTACAACTCCCATTACTATCATCGGAAAATTATCCTTGTATATATGTTCTTTAAATAAGTTACAAAAAAATCACCAAAACTTCTTTACCAATATAAAATTGAATAACATATTAAAAACAATATCCATGCCTTCATTTTTTATCAAAGAGGAAGCCAAATGAAAGGAAAATTGCTTGCGATTGGGATGAATGTTTATAGCCTCTTTAATCCAGCAATTTGATATGAATTAATTTAAGGGAAACGAGTGGTACAAGGAGAATTTAGATCCCTTTGAGAAACAGCAGCAATGGATCATAGCATTAGTAATGACAGAAGTTGAAAGACTTCAAAAAAAATCTTGAAGAATTTGAAAAGAAGGTAAGAAAACCTTTTATAGTGGTAATTTTGCAATTTACCTTCTTTGGTGAATGGTCCACTGCAAAAAATCATCTGAGGGTACATTCTGCTCTCATAGATAAGTTTTCTTTCAAGATGTATTAAGAAATAATAGCCACTAATACTAAGGTTGCTTGTCGAAACTCCTTCAGGGTTACACATTAATTGTTTATTAGAGTTTCGCATTTTGAGGTTTCGCCATTTCGGCATGGTTTCAACAGGATTTTTGATAAGATTTAACATAGTTTTGCCGTGGTTTCAGCAATTACTAAGGAGGTTTCGCCCACAACCTTAATAGCCACTAGCTAGGTAGTATACTTTTATAGATTAGTTTTAGAAGCTCTGCACCATATATGTTACAAATTTATATTTTAATAGAAAAGGATCTGTCAAAAATGAAATTACAAAATCCAGAGAAAAAGAACCCTTTACATGTATAGATAAACAAATAAATCTATTTATAAATAATAAATAAAATAGCATTATTATTATTCTACAAGTATTATAATTTCTATTAACATGGTTTATATCTATAATGTATATAAATACATATGGTTAGAGAAGGGAATATTCTACATCTTTTTTAATTTATTATTAATATAAAAAGAAACCAATTGTCCAACAATTTGTTGCTTTCCAACAAGAGAGGAGACTATTCATATCAGGTTTTTACTACCTGAAATTTTTGCTCCTAGAGCGGCAAATAATCCATTAGAGCTATGTCCTCTTTTTTCCTTCTTTTCATCACCATTACTTGGTGATTCTTTGGAAGAAAACAATGATTTGTTTTTTGTTGCTGCCTCAAATATAAACGATCGTTTTTTCGTTATATTTTTCATTCCTGTCTTAAGGCTATTGCTATTGCTATTATTGTTGTTATTTTTGTTGTTGTTATTAACACCGCTATTAGCATTACTAAAATCATTAACGCTACCAGATCCAACTGTTAAGTTATGATTACTATTAGTTTCATGATTGTTATTATGATGATTATTAGAATTGAAAAATCCATATTTTTTAGTTGGTAAATCTGAATGCGATTTTACAGCTGCTTTCAAATTAGAAAGGAAACTATTACCATTATTACTAATTCCATGAGTAACTACAGCAACACTACCACTGTTACTATTATTACTAACTCCATTAGTAACTCCAGCAACACTATCACTATTACCATTATCATTATTATTATCATACGAGGTTTGAATATGTTCCAATAATAAGCCTTTTGATTGTTGTTTTTCTTGATTGGACGATTCAAATGTTTCCAGAACATCAGCTTCACAATTTTCTTTGATCGCTAATTCATCATCACATTTCAGAGTACTATCGTTGGATATAAAAGATTGATAAAAAAAATTATTATAAATCTTCTTTTTAATAAAAACATTTATTTCGATAAAATAAAATACCCGAGATTTTCTTCTATTAGACTATTTTCAAACAAAGATTCTTGAATGGTATTTTCACTTTGTTGATACATCTGTTGGAAAGTTTTTAAATGTTGTCCATAATGCTTATTAATATAAGGTAAAGGTGTCATCGTATCATTCTCTACAGCTGTCACAGGTTGCGATTCATCACCATCATTGTTATTATTGCTGTTGGTAGAGAAGCCACTATCATTTCTTGTATGATCTTGGCTACTGGCTACAGATGACTTTTTTGAATGATGGCGATGGTGGTCATGGAAATCAAATGACGATGACAATGATGATATGTCACCACGTGTTGTGGCTGACAACGAAGAATATCTTCTATGAACTTTCATAAAATCTCTCGATGACCTACACGATCTCCTCATTACAGTTGAAGAGTCATCAACAGTTCCAAAAAATTTCAATACATCATCTGGAAGTTGATATTGATCTAGATCAATTGATCTTGGCGAAAGATACGGCATTGCAGATGAAGAAGCAATGCGTGAATCATTTCCTTTATTATCATTATTGTTATTATTGTTATCATTGCCATTGATGCTATTTGTAATACCATTGTTATTATTTAGATCATCGATTTCCTTTATTATTTTATCTACTTCGCTTGTAGTACTAGTCCGATTTCTTTTATGGCTAGATGAACTATTGTTTTTTTCCAAAGAAACAAATTCATTATTTAAAATGTTTTGTTGTTTTTCGCCACCATTGCTTCTATTTTTATCGATTATGATTTCATTTTCATGCAATAAATCTTCAAAATAGCTATCGATACTTATTCCTGGTTCTTCTGGTCCAAATGGACTTATAGCCCTAATTGTTGGCAAAATAAATTCTTCATGCCTTAAATGATTAGCGGCTTCAATGTCCAAAGGAGGTAGATTAGATAGGTTAACAATGTCATCGATAACATCTTGATTTTGACCTTCTTTACTCCATGAGTACCTGTTGGTACTTTTTTTCTCTCCTACAACTAAATTGCCACCTTTTCTAAAAGGCAAAAAATTGTCATTTTTACGTTTTTTCTCTGTGCCCTTGTTATTGCTACTAGTGGTTACAGAGGTGTTGTTGGTTTTAAGATCTTCCATGGTAGATGGTAAGGCTGGCACAAATATCAAGTTACTTTCTACAAAATATGGATGTTTAAGCGCATCTAATGCTGAAAGCCTTTGACGTGGATCAAACCGTAAAAGATATGCAAGGAATTGAAGAAAATTAGGTGGTGTTGTGGGTGGAAATATTTTTGACAGTGGTTGTGGTCGAGTCTAATTGTAACAAAAATAATAATAATAATAATAACAATTATGTTATTGTTATTAAAGGAAGGAACATTTATTGTATATACATAATTTTACATCTCCTCCCGATAAAATAAAAAATAAATCATACCTGTGGAAAAGTAAAACCCAAAGTTTTGGCTAGCTTTATACCTTCTTTCCATTCTCCACCTCCCAACTCATCATTTTCTATAACTTGTCCAGTAACTTCAGGTCTAAAACAAGGGCTACCCAGTACCTCTGAAATTTTACATAGTTGATCGATTTCACTTTGACCTGGAAACAGTGGTTTCAACGTATATAACTCTGCAATTATAGTACCTACTGCCCATATATCTATCGGTGAAGAGTAAACATTAGAACGAAGCAATACTTCTGGAGCTCTATACCTGCGTTATCAAATATTCAAATGTTAGTTAATAATAATCATCATTATCAATCAAATATTATTTTATAATATTGTTGCTTACCAACGTGTGCTAACATATTCTGTATATGGCGGTTTAGATTTTGTTTCCCTTGCCAATCCAAAATCACCAATCTTTATTATAAATTCTACATCATCATCATCGATAAATTCCAAAGATGGTCTGCCGTTATTAGAACACATAGAATTATCTTTAGATTCAGAAAGGTTTCGCCTTCTTGTTGAAACTAATATGTTTTCAGGTTTCATGTCACAATGAAAAATCCCATTCGAATGAATATGATAAAGACCTTCAAGCACTTGAAACCTTTTTTTTTTTAAAAAGTAAAAAAAAAATCAGCATACATTGTATTTATTTTTTGATAATATTTAAAAATCAACATGATCTTTTACATTATTGACTTTAGAACTCTCTCATCCAATAATCTTCCTCTTCTATCTTTAATTAATTGATAAAGATTTCCCTCCATATACTCGAATACAAAATATAATTCTCGTGCTTGTGTTATAAGAAAAGCCTCCAATAATGAAATCACATTTATGTGGGTTGGTAAGGATCTTAATGCCTATTGGATATATTTATTTATAATTAAATGTTGCATGTTTATTTATCATGTAATTTCCGTATTGTTAAAACGGTTTAAAAAAAGATCAAGGAGAAATATATATTGATCAATACCTTAAATTCACGTAATTCACACACTTTTTCCCACGATGAGAATTTCTTTTTCATTTTTTTTATGGCAACCTTTGTAAAATAGTAAAAATAGTAATAAGAATGATAAAGTTAAAAAATGATAAAGAAGAGCGAAAATATATCATTAAAAATTTTTTTTTGTTTTTATCAACTAACTAATTCTAGCACTGACATACTTCTAATGCTACCACTATTATTAATAATAAATACTGTTCCATTAATCAAATATAAGGGATGAACTTTCGTATCTTGTGACATAAAATAAATGGTTTAACGCGTTAATTTGACTTGTAAATTCTTCAAGTTTCATTGTTGTACTTGTTCAAACTGTTTACACTTTAGATTCTTTTTTCTTTTTACAAAATTGTAGCTCCAAAATTAAATAGATCTTTAAAAATTTATAAGAACTCACCACTTTTCTTGTCTGTTTGTGTTGTGCTTGTATAACTGTACCAAAAGAGCCGTCGCCTAACTCTTTAATAGCATAATAATCCTCCATATTTACAAATATATATATATGTATATATATATAAATAATATGTATATTTTAAGCTTGTTAAGAATTTGAGAAATAAGAATTATTTTATGAAATTATTTATTAAGAAAAAAAAAATTTTATGCTTTTTGTAGCACTTCTTTGTTAATTATCAATTTGGCAGCTCCTTGATTATGATTTGTGTTTGTTATATATAATAATATGTAATAAAAATACATTGATCTACATCAAATGATCGATTTTATTTATATATATATAAGTTATAGTAGCTCACGTGCATATATAAAAAAAATAAAAAAGATAATTTAAAGATAATTTAAAGTATGAATTATAAATTATAATAATTCTTGATGAAAGAATTTTACTAATTCAACAATTTAAAAATCCTAGTCTTTGATATTTTCTTAACAAATTACCCAATGCATCTCTTTCCAAAATTTTATCATAATTATAATTCCCATATAATCTTAATGTAAAAGGTTTAGGTCCTTTCCAATTGTCCATGAAAATTTTTATCGAATTAACGGAAACATCAATATCATCCATAAAATATATAGATTTTAAATTTTTTGGCAAAGTTTGATTCATTGCTGTTAAAATTTTATCACCGTTAAATTTATAACCCCAGTTAGTTTGTCTAAATGTAATACTTTTTAATTTAGTACAATTACTAAATAATTCAATTAATTGTGCATCCAAATCATTCGTGTAGAATATTGTCAAATCTTCTAAATCTTTACAATGCTTTCCAATAGATTGTATCACTGTTCCCAAGTATTCATTATCTGTTGGTTTGCCTCTGGTTGTCAATTGTTTGAGATTTTTCCCGTTTGTTTTAATAAAAACTGACAAGTCTTGTAGGAATGATTGGTGGTTAAATTCAAAATATACTTTTTGAATACATGGAAGTGCAATAGATTTTAAATAGTTGATATTGTTATGTCTTTTATATAATGCCAAAATCTTTAAATTTTGAAACATTGGTATTAATATAGAATCTAAATTATTTTCACCAAAACTCTCGTAAGAAATTATTGATTTCGAATGAAATGAGATCGCTTCTTTGAAGTTATCTGATAAAACTAGATTTTTAAATGAATGAATAGCCAATTCCGTAATTTGATTTTGTGCTTTAATCAATCGAGTTAAATAATAATCATGTATTTTCGCGCCACCGTTATAATTGATTTTTAGGATTTGAATATTTTTACAAATTTTGCTTACTTTATCGAAAAAGTTAGAACCATTAGAAGAACAATTACAATCCAATTTATAAAGGTTTCGAAAACAAGCTTCAAATCTAAAATTACTAACCATTAATTTAAATGATGGGTCGTTGTTTTTAAGCGTTCTGATGACTGAATGATCTAAAATGAAGCCTATTAATCTTTTTTTTAGACGATTGAATTCATCAGATCCATGATTGTCTACTACAAGTTCTTTTAATTTATAAATAAATAATTGAAAATTTAATTCAGTAGCAAACTTGATATAATTACACAAGGGTGGTCTTTCCAATAATTTAAATTTCAATTCGATGTTGTTTCTTATTAAAAAATCTTTGTCTTCTACTAATAAACAATTTATTAATATTTTAATGCTACCACTAAAGTAAAACGAAACTCTCCATAAAATTGGAATATTGATAGTATGCCATTGTTTGTTCACTCGAATGCAAGAATATAGAGTATTATAATCATCAACATATTTAAATATTCCAACCAAAAGTTCCAATGGTAAAATTTTTATTGACATTTTAAAAAAAAAATTTTTATTTTTTAAAAATCTACAAATAAATCTCCCATGTTTGGTTAGATCCAGTTAATTCTTTTTATAGGTCCGGATATATAATAATAATAAGTTTACAACCGAGAACGCAATCACTTTGGTCATGACAATAGTCTATTTGAAACATATAAATAGGACGATTGCCCCATATTTTATTGTACATATTCGTTCGGAGCATCAAAATTAGTACTGGATGCACTTTTTTTTTTTTTTTTTTTTTTTTTAGTAGAAAATATTATGTTAATTATTACTGAATTGGGTTCATTTTTGTCACATATTTCACCGTGCACTTATAAAAAGGAAAAATAAATTTGTTTATTAAAAATATCTTAATATAATTTGAATTCCATGTCGGTATATAATCCATTGATCTTGAAGTTGACTAAATAAAGAAGGTGTAGGATTAAGAAGAAATGAATCGATTAATATACGTATGTGTTCGATATGATAGGATATGAATCCACAACGTTTATTTTGGTGATCAGTGAGGGATTCGTAGTAATTGATGTTTCGGATTAGGTGACTAAGGCGGCGGGTTAGAGAAGTGTTGATACGCAAATTTTGAATATGCAATCTTCTTCGATGTGGCATCTATAATTATTTTCATAAGAAAATAAAAAAAAGTTAGAACCAAAGTCTAAGCAATATGTTATTTTGTTTTATCTTCATCGTAGCACCAATAGCACTATTCTCAGGTATAGAAAGTAAATCTACTGTAACGGCATCTCCCAACGTAACAGCCAAGACCTCTCATCCACAAAGAATATTTGGTTAAAAACATTCCTTGCCTTCAGAAAGCATCTGACCCAAGTGGCACACACTCGGCGGGAACAAGGTAGGTATCAGGCCAAAAAGGAGTCGAATATAATGGTGAGTAGGCCTGATTCTAATTCTCAACCCTCTTACAGCAGAGTAAAATAAATTTTACTTTATAAAAACTTTCTTTAAAATAACTTGCCTTTAATTATTTAATTATTAACAAAATTTTATGAGAAAAAAATAATAATAATAATAACAATATTCCAATAAAAGGGGGCAATATATATATGTACGCGATATATACTGATCGGCAGGAATTATTATTAATTAATTTTTTTAATATATGCATGTCAGCCAGAACTAACTTGTTAAGACGATGCTTTGATAAAACAAAATACACACGATAAACCGGTATTTTTTTATTATCTACTACCTATTAAATTAATCTTTTTTTGTAAAAACGTTTAAAGAGTTATGGGAATGGTGGAAGAGATTTAGAGAAAAACAGAGGAGTTTAGGATCATTTTTCCCTTCTTTGATGGTAAAATTAACTGTTAAGGGTGTTAGATTTTTAATTATTACATGGATAGCCCCAAATGAGAGAAATATGTGATTGGATGATATTGATCAGATAAATATCTTACATCAGTATTTAGTGTTAAATTGGCTAACGTGATTAATTACGTCGTTGTGGGAACCAATCAGATTTTACATGGTGTGAACTTTGACCATTAAAACTTTCAAAGGGCGTTTTTAACAAGGGTCAAAACTTGGTTTTAACTTTTTTATCCATAGAAGTTCCATTTCATCAATCACTTTTTTTCTCATATTCACTTGAAGATAAGTTCTTTTTTGTTAAAAAGGATTACCAATTTTTGCATGGGCGGTCCCAAATGGGAGAAACATTCGATTGGATGATATTAATCAGAGAAATAAGAGGTGTTACTTAGATTGCATAAAAATCTTACATCAGTATTTAGTGTTAAATTGGTTAACGTGATTACGTTATTGTGGGAACCAATCAGATTTTACATGGTGCGAACTTTGACCACTAAAACTTGCGTTTTTAACAAGGGTCAAAATTTGGTTTTTGCATAATAGAAAATTCTTCTGCTGCTTTCACTTGAAGATAAGTTCTTTTTTGTTAAAAAGGATTACCAATTTTTGCATGGGCGGTCCCAAATGAGAGAAATATTCGATTGTATGATATTGATCAGAGAAGTAAGAGGTGTTACTTAGATTGCATAAAAAAAATTTTTATCTTACGTCAGTATTTAGTGTTAAATTGGTTAACGTGATTACGTTATTGTGAGAACCAATCAGATTTTACATGGTGCGAACTTTGACCATTAAAATTTGCAATGGCGTTTTCAAAATTTAGTTTTTGCATAATAGAAATTCTTCCGCTGCTTTCACTTGAAGATAAGTTCTTTTTTGTAAAAAAGGATTAACATTTTTGCATGGACAGTCCCAAATGAAAGAAACATTCAATTGGATGATATTGATCGGAGAAATAAGAGTTGTTACTTAAGCTGCTTAAAAAAAAAAATTTATCATATATCTAGGGATAAGGCGGTTCCATTAATATTAGTATTAGGGAGCCGCTCCGATATAGAGCTGAGGAGCGGCTCTGTTGTTGATCTTTCCTTTAAAGGAAAGATCATCGAACAAATTACATGAAATTTTTCTTGACAATTTTTTATTAAATAAATATAATAATAAAATAATAAACAAACGAATAAACAAATGAATAGACAAATGAATAATAAAAGAAACTAAAGTATAAAGCATTAAAGAAGAGAAAAATAATGATATGTATATCTTTAATATATATATTTACAAAAAAAAGAAAAAAAATTTATGCATTTTATTTTCCTATTTTATTTATCCAGCTTTTCATATACAAACAGGCTCTTGCAGTTTCTGAAAACAAGTAATTCCGTGTTCTGCTAATTGTATTTCCAGCAACAGAGAAAGTCTACTCTGATGGAACACTTGTTGCTTGAATGGCAAGATAATCTCTCGCCATATTACTTACATTTGGGTACTCTTTGGCATGTGTCTGCCACCATAAGAGAGGATCTGTATCTTCATCTCTCTGCAATTCAAGATAACGATCTATCTCTGATACTGAAGATGTTGAGGGAGTTAGAGATAAAGTTTGTGGAGTGGTGCCTTGACAAGGTCGTATGAAATATTGGCGACTTGTATTCAT